CGTGGAATTCCAATAAAATTGATTCATGTTTGTGGCTGTAATGTGACAAAATGTGGAAAAGTTCAAGGGGCCGAATACTTTTGCAAGCCACTGTATATCTTGGATATCAGCCCTGCAAACTTAAACAACAAGAGATCCAAGTCCCAGTTACTAAGAGTTAGGAATGCAGATCTATGACGCGGTGATGTCACGTGGGTATTTCTTTATTTCAAGACAGCTACAGTATCACTGAAGGGAAAGCTTGGTTTAAACATGCTCAACCATCGGTATGTTCTTTCTTTAAAAGATATTTTTAAAACAAATTCTGGCTCTTTGTCGCGGAAACAATGAAAAAAAATTCTTCAGATGCCATGGCAGGAGATAAGAAAGACCAAGCAGCTTTATCTGGACGAAGCCCTCACCGTTATGGTTTTGTTTATCAAGCTTTGGAAGCTTTTGGAATCGCTCAGTGAATCATGTGCAGAAATCTTTTTCGGTGAGGCTCAACTGCAGGGCTGCCATGGTAAATTTTTCCCTGCGTGCAGTTCATCAGTTTGGCAGCACTATAAAGTCTTCACGCTTGAAAAGCTCCCCGCGAAAAACAAATAAAAAAACAAAAACCAAACTGACTGATGTTAATGTTTATTATTTTCTCTGATGAAATGATTTCATGTTTAAGATGAAAATGATGAACCGTGCAACTTCAAAACGCTGTTCGACAAATGTTGTCTGCGATAGATCAACAAAAACATCAAATGATTCATTAGCACAAAGCCACGGAGGACAACAAAACAGCAGAATTAGGCAGTCACGACAGCGCGTATAGATCCTGTCTCTGCAGCGTTAGACAGTTATGAGGGTTGTGCAACACTCCCGAGTCTCAAAGTGACCCTTCCCAAATGCAGAGGAGGAGATATTTGGGACTGCCGTTTGCCAAACAGCTTGATGTGTTTACCACCATCTGTCCCGCTCCCTCTGGTGTGAATCATCAGACCTGGAGAAGCCTTGGACAGCGTTGAGGAAAAGTGTCCGGGGCCCAGGTGGTGTGCCGGGCTTTAATGATATTTGGTTTTAATTCACTTTTCCCCCTCACTACGCTGACTGTTTGCGAAGGTTTTTGCAAGGGCCTCAGCTCACATAAAATTTCCATTTATAATTGCATGGAGCGGAAATGCTGCTACATTTTTATTTAATTCCTGTGGTTTTCAGCATAAACATGCACGTGTGCAGGAATGATGAAAAAAATGAATTAAAGTCATCCGAAGGCACGGTGTGAAGGACTCAAAGCAGACAGGTGAGGGCTGCTGCTGAAAGGAAAATCAGTCACAGAGAAGGCAAACATGCTCACGGGCAGACGGTCAAACTGACCACTTGTTTTTAACTGCTTACAGCTCTAAATGGTTCATCCTTTTACGTGTCTGCCATAACAGCGTGCTAAAGCTTTTTCACTAAACAGAAGGACAGCAGCTTTCTGACCTCCACCATGCACTATTACATCAGAGTAGCAACAGATGCCTGACCCTTAGGCTTCTCTGCAAATTGAATTTCTGCAACACTTGTTACTGTCAAACTTTAGCAGATGGTGCCAAGAGATTCAAGAATTCACAGTATATGATAAAAGCTTTCCCCTCCCGAAAAGATAAGATGCATTCATGCTCCATGGACCTTGATGCTGCAGCCTTCCTTTTGCAAGCCAGACCGAATGTTGATAAACAGCTTTAATGTCACCTCCGGCTTTATCCTTAAAATATCCTTAGACAAAAATGTGAACGAAGGCGTGGAATGAATGTTTGAATTAACCGGTACCTTTTAAGTGATCGAAATAAAAATCCTGTAATAAGAATAAGAGGAAGATGTGAGGTTTGTAACTCCTTTGGGAACATGACTTCCTCAGTCTCCTAATAATCTGAGCACAGCTGTGCTTAACACATTTCCATCAGTCCTAAATATCAGCGGATGTGCAATATTTCATCTGCAGCCCGGCAGCCTCCTGCATGAGCTGAACAAAAGTTCGCCAGTGATTTCACGTTGGAGTGAATTATTCAGTCTTTGCTGAGGTCTTAATGTGACTGAAAGAGGATAATTGCCTCTTGTTGTTGACGACATCACTCAATTCAATTATCATCTTTGGATTTTTGTGTCGCCATTTGAATTCACACACAAGAAAGGTTTACATCGTGTTAGCTGTTTTTTCTGTCACTTTTTAATTTGTAGTAGTTGACATCAATAGTCAACACATTATCCAACAGCTTTCTAATGTTTCTGCACCTGTCCTGTCTGCCTCTGGCTCTTTGGGCTGGCAGCTGGCACCAAAAACTGGTCCACCACACTGATTTATCTTTGTCTCTGTGTAGGCCTGCGTTTTGTGGGCACGAACACGTCTAGCAGGTATTACCTGCAGGGATCTTGATCATTTTTATCTCCTGTGCTGATTGCTCCATGGTCCTGGACGTGACTTGCACTGAAGAGTTGAACTCTATGAGAAGCACTTAAAAATATTGCTGTTTTAGCTTGTTAGGTGCCATCATTGTATCCTACTGAGTTTTTTAAGTGATGGCATGACGTTGAAAATGATGACTGTTTAACTCTTCAATGCTGATTACTTCTAATGCAATCCTGTCTGCAGGCAGCGTTTGCTGTCGGGCATAGGGTTATTTTGGGCAGACCAGGAAGTCAAACTCGGCCTCCGTCCCAGCAGATCAGCTGATCTTAGTGTTACAGATCTCTGGGCTGGGCTTTCTAAGCTGCATTAGCTCGTTCAGTGTTGCCGTTTCTTGGCACACTGCTTTGCAGCCCACCTCCACCTCATCTCCACCTTTCATGCTGTGTTCATGGGGAAAACCTTCATGGGTAATCCATGTCATTGCTGTCTGTCACTGCTCTGTTTTGGCTGAGACTTGCTGATGTGGCTTTCCAAT